CAAGGATGCTCTTTCTACAGTCAAGCCTTCCATAAGCACACATCCTTGGGACCTAAAAAATAATCTGCTCAGAGAGGTGGCCAGTCATGGAAGGTCATAACCTGCAAAGTGGGTGGTCAACTTATAACGGAGGTGCAGGGCACGCACAGTTGTGATAGTGCTGGACTGCCACTAATGTGGCCCAAGTTCAAATCTGGGACGTGGGTTGTGTTTCAAGTTGTTGGTTCTCATCCTTGCGCTGAGGGTATTTTTCCAGTTTCTTCGGTTTACCTTCCTCCACAAAAACCAACATCTCCAAATTCCAATTTGATCTGAAGCAGTGGACGAGCAGTCACTCGGTGGAGGTGCCTCTGATAATTCTTATTCATTTGTCTACAACAGGGAGTGAGTTGGAGCAATTTGAAGGAGCAAGACCATGCATGCAGGTGCAGATACACGAGGGAAAGCATTTTTTTCTTTTCACTGCACATGTCGCACCACTCCTACCCTTGTCCTTTTCCTCGAGTACCTGCTATGCTGGCTAGGGAGGTGTTTGTCTGGGGCTGCAACAGGAGGGGGGCTAACTGTCTGCTTATGCCAGTTGCCAGTAAGGGACGTACATGTATCCATTTGCTGAAGTTTTAACTGTTTTGTTTTCAGACAACTGTGCTCCTTAATAACCTAGCGAAGGCTTACGCMGAAAGTGGCCAGTATGAACAGGCGGAAGAAATGGCCAGAGAGGCAGTGCGCATTGCTGAAAAGACTCAAAACACTCACCTCTCTCAGTTTATGGCTAATCTGGGAATGATCCTCAATTCAGAAGGTATTCTTCGCTTCCAAGCGGCTTTTTGTCATTTGCATCCTAGCTGCCTGCATGTAGCAAGTGTAGTCGGTTGAGCAATTAACTACAAGCACTGACTGACTGTTTGAGCGGCCCGGAAGGCTTAAGTTGTTTTGTCGTGTTCTTAGGCAAGACAGTTTATTTCCAGTGCCTTTCTCCTCCCAGAAGTATTTATGTATTAAACCTTGATGTACCAGCATCCCATCCAGGAGGTCCACACTACGTTGTAGGAATTTCAGAAAACGCAGGTTTCACTCTGAAAATGCATCAAATGTTTTCCGT